CCATTTTCTATCCTGATTATTCATCGGGGTCACAGGGGGGAGGAGCCTATCCCAGCTGACAACAGGCCAGAGGCGGGTCCACCCTGGACAGGTGTCCAGTCCATCACAGGGATACACAGAGACACACAACCACACACACTCACAGTCACTCCTGGAGGCAGTTTGGAGGGTCCAGTTAATCTCACATGCAGGTTTTTGGACAGCAGGAGGAAGCAGGAGAACCAGAGAGAACCCACACAGACACAGGAGAACATGCAGACTCCACCCAGAAAGGTCCTGGTTCCCCCAGGAACTGAAACCAGGAACCCTCTCTGATGGAAACCATTTTTTAAACAAATCTGTTTAAATACAGATTCTAATGCACTTCTCCACATTTTGGTTTTAGAATGGAAAAACTTTAGTTAACTTAAATTACTGAGGCCTGCAAACACAAAGATGTAAATCAGGGATGTTAACTCCAGACCTTAATATGACATTTAACTGGATATGTTGGGTTCAGTGTCTGTATTTCATAGCTGATAACCTGGAGTCTGTATTATGGAGCAGGATTAGAGGCTTATTCATGTTCACATAAATATTCTGAAAAGGTTCTAAAATGAGTTCCCATTACTGAGCCACTCTTTTTGTCATCAGTCCCTTAAATAGAGCCCACAGACTGTTTGAATCTGGATCTGTTTGTTCTGAATATGCTGCAAAGATCACTCACAACATTCAGGATGAAACTTGTCAGAATCAGAAACTTTCTCCCACATTCTGATAATAACTGCTGAACTCTCTGTTTCAGAGGTCTTACTTTGTGTCTGGGGGTCCAGGTCCATCTCTGAGGTCTGGAGGTTTACCAATGGACCAGTAACTCTTCACAGACACACAGTCGGGTTGTGGATCCTCTGCTCTCTGTCTGTGGCTCTGACCTCTGCAACACAAACATGTTGATCACATCATCACTGATAAACTCTCTGATGGAAACCATCCATCCATTTTCTATCCTGATTATTCATCGGGGCCAAGGGGGGAGGAGCCTATCCCAGCTGACAACGGGCCAGAGGCGGGTCCACCCTGGACAGGTCTCCAGTCCATCACAGGGACACACAGAGACACACAACCA